AACTCTGGAGCAAAATCGTCTTATGATTTAGGGTGAGGCAAGTGCTGGGACATGGTACTTCCTGCCATGGGCACTTAGAGGTGCTCGTCGCTCTCCTTTTTTTGTCCTCTCGTATCTTACCTCCCCACTGCCCAATTTGTGATTTGTGCTCCCTGCCCATCCCTCTCCTGACAACGCAAAGTCTTTGTTCTCTGAGCTCCACTGTCAACATTCCTCCTGGGCTGGGAATCTCGTCAGGGCAACCTCTTTGTTCTTCTCCGTATTTATTTCATTGCATGTGGTCACTCTACGGGGTGTATGTGTGTGCGTGTGTGTGCAATAACAGACTGAATGAAAAGTGATCCATTCTAGAATCCTTTGGATCCAGGAATTCCTATACATCTTCCATTGTATATAGGAATGTTTTTCACTTCCTGTCTTGATGGCATAGGATATATGTTATTATCTCATTATGGAAGGTGGATCATGATTTTAAAAATTGATCTCATGTACCTCTTACCCGAAATGACAATCCCTCATTCCTATAGGAAAGCAGATGACATGTGACCTCATCTTTTCCCACCTTAATTTGTTATAAGAACACAAAGAAATCCCACAACTTTGAATGACATGTCCAGATGTCATTCAAACATACAAATTCTGCTCTCTACCAGATCTGTCTTCCATGTAAATTTTTTTAATTTAATTTAATTTTTAAAAAATTTTATGTGTATAAGTGTATTGCCTGCATGTATGTGAGTGCACTTGTGTCATGCAATGCCGCGGAAGTCAGAAGAGGTTTCGGATTCTCCTAGAACTGGAGTTAAGGATGGTTCGTAGCCACCATGTGGGTGCTGGAAATCGAACCCGAGTCCTCTACAAGAGCAGTCAGTGCTCTTAACTCCTGAGCCATCTCTCCAGCCCCCCAAATATTTTATTTTATTATTTTTACTTTATGTGTATGTATTGCCCCCACATGCATGAAAGTGCACCTTTGTCATGCAATCAATGCCAGAAGAGGTTGTTGGATCCGCTGGAACTGGGGTTACGGAGAGTTGTTAACTGCCATGTGGGAATTGTGCTGGGATTCAAACCCGGGTCTTTTGCAAGAACAGCCAGTGCTCTTAACTGCTGAACCATCTCTCCAGCCACCCATGTAAAATTTTAAGAGCCAGAACTTCAGACATAAATTCATCACTTGGAAGTTTGAAAGTTTTACTCCCACTTTAATCTCAAGAAGCATTTAGCCTTGTGAATCTCCCCAATCCACACTGGCAGACTGACTGGTGTGGACATCCTGCAGGTCTTGTTGAGGCAACCATATTTTTGAGACTTTTAAGTACAGCTCCCCTGTCATGTATGGAAGACCCTTTCTAGCAGCAGGTGTCCTGGTTTTCTGGCTTTTAAAATCTTTCTACCCTTTCTTCCCTCCATGTTGCCTGAGCCTTAGGTGTAGGAGCTTACACCAAGTGGTTAGTCCTAAACACACATCCATAAGAGCAACACTAATGGACTAAGTGGGTTATGGATATGTAATACTAATTATAGAAGAGGCCATGGAATTGAGAGGGGCTATAGGAGGGAGAGAAGCAGGGGTGAGATTGTTGTAAATACAATATTCGTGTATGCAATTCTCAAAAAATAGAAATTTAAATAAAAGAAAAAAAAGCATTTTGTCCTATGTTAATGGATCCTGGAGCCTTGTAAAACCCAAAAGAACCTTTACTGTGGAGCAAGGGGGGTATAAGAAGGCTTTCCCTAAGTGTAGAGTGGGGAAGGCTTTACACTTGAATGTGTGAATTTCAGCCAACTTAGTTCTGTTTATATGGAGATCTGTCCTGGCCTGAGCTTTATGCAAATCAACTTTGTTTCACTTTCTCTCAGCATCCTCATAATTATTCAGTGTGAGTAAAACAGCAGGATCACCTAGCAATGCCCTCTTAGAACACTATAAAGGCACACTGTTCTGGAAAGGGTCCTGTAAACCTCCTCCTGTTTCTTCTCCTCTCCCTCCTCCTGTTCCTACTTCTACTCTACCTATGCCTTATTTTTCCTGAATATCATCGTCATTACCATCACCATCTTCATCACTATCAGCTCAGCATCAGCATCACCACCATCATTATCATTGTCATTAGTATCATCACCATCACTATCACCATCCTTTGTGCCAATGAAATATTTTATTCTTTTCAGGTGCCTTCCTGTCCATCAAGTCATTTTCATCCTGGAAACCTTGGGTAGTACCCAGGCAGGGATTAAATGCACTCGTAAAGTATAAAAACTGAAGATAAGTCAGATTGGTAGATCTTGTAGAAGACACAGGGACAGGTGGAAAGAACTCAGCTACTACTTTTCTGACAGTGGTGAGGCTGTGGAGATTTCTTCCTTGAGAGGGAATAGGATGTGCAAATGGGAGGGGTCAGGGAAGTCAAGAACCTGAAGGAACCAAGGAACCAGAGACTTAAAAAGTGAGGTTCAGGCAGGGACTCTTGGTATTGTAGGATTGAGTAGCCATGCTCTCTGGACTTAGAGGTTGGTTGGAGATGCTCCTTAAGGCTGAAGGGACCTGCATACACAGTCACACCTCCACCACACTGACATAATGGTTCCCACACAGGATCTGAAGATACATGAGTCTGCTGAGTGTTTTTCTTTTTTTATTTATTATTTTTATTTCATGTGCATGCATATATTGACTGCATGTAGGTAAGTGCACCCGTGTCATGCAATGCCCGCATTGGTCAGAAGAGGCTGTCAGATCCCCTGAGACTGGAGTTACGGACAGTTGTTAGCTGCTGTGTGGGTGCTGGGATTCGATCCAGGGTCTTCTGCAAGAACAACCAGTGTTCTAAAAGCTGAGCCATCTCTCCAGCCCCTGCTGAGTGTTTTTCTTATTATGATTGTGTTGTGACCCTTGAGCTGGTAAACATAATCTGCAGCATCAAGGCATTTTTATCTTTCAGATGTATAAAGATACTTGCAAAAGAGATAAATATGGTACCCATGACGGTTGCACTACTTAGAAGGATGAATTCTCTTGTTCTCATTTGGACCCATATGCTGTGACTATGAATCATCCATTCTGAGGAAGGGAGGGCAGAGCATTAGGTCTAATTTATGCTTTGCTAACTGAAATCAAGTACAAAGTTCAATCTCCCTGGTAGTTGATGTGCTCACATTTAAATGGGGCAGAAGTATGATTAACCTGACTCTGTGTTGGCAGGTTGACTTAGCTTTCTGGATAGATGATAGTTCCTTCATCAAGCCTTCCCACTGAAGAGAGGGGCATGGCTTAGTGGTTCACTCTGAGTCAGAAAGATAAAAGTACAGTAGACATTGAGGAAATCAGATCTTACACATGTCAAGCTTGAATTTCTTTTCAGAACCATGAGCCTTCAAATATAATACCAAATGGGGACTCTTAAAATAAAAATCCTCATGATCCAAGGCTCAGGCTTCTGCCCTTTTCTTTATATGAAAAGGTTAATAAATGAGTTAGGAGGGAGGAGTTTCCACATTTATTTTGCAGGGAAAAAATGGCTTATTTACCACTGGTTAATAATATTAAAATGAATTTGTTATCTTTATATGACATGTAGCTTTTTTTTGGAAGTATCAATTAAAGTGTGACTTTTCTGAGCTTTTGTGGACAGGAGGACAGAAAGGAGGCGGAAGCGTTTACCAGAACGGGAGAGAGGCGTGCAGGCTGGAGGAGCAGTCATTTTCAGCCTGTAGACAAACATCTTTAATGGTTTTCTAGAAACAGATCCATACTCCTTTGACAGAGTTAAGAAGTCACCTTAACCTAGCTATGAATGAACCCCCAAACAGCATATTTCTGCAAGTGTGCTGTGACCCTTCCTTGCAGGGTTCAAAAGCCCTGGGGTCACTTTCTTGGGATGTGAATCCCACAAAACCATAAATGGGGCTGAGAAGGAGGAAGAGGAACCAAGAGTGAAAAGACATAAGACTTTCCTCCAGTTCTAAAGCCCAGTTTCCTTAAGAGCATTTCAAAAAGGATCAATGCATGACCCCCACTTCAGGTTGATTCCATGGGTCTAAGATAGGGCTCATGGGGCTATGTCCCTCCCTCCCTTCCTTCTATTTTTTTTTTTTTTTTTTTTTTTTGTCCAGTTTTTAAAGTATTTTATAAAGGCTGTATGGTTTTCACATATGACTCATGATCTATAGAAGATGACTTTTCATCCTAGGCAGGGGAGGAGGGGATCAGCAGTCAAGT